AAAATAAACAGACTATATAAAATAAAAATAAGGAAGTTTTACATCAGGGAATGTTTGATTTATAGGTTTTAAAGTAATGCAGCCATTATCAAGGGGAATTATACACAGACACGCACTTGGCACTTAGTTGGTAAATAGGATGAAGGTCTAACTAGTCTCTAGGTAAGTGGAATTTTTAGTGTAAGATATTCAGTAAAAAATTCTACAGATAAGATGGAATAAGGGCAGACATATTAAGGATAGTGATAAAACTGAAGGTCATAATGAGTTAGAAATCCATATAAGAGAACTAATACATAAATGCAAGTGAAAAGTGGTATCAGACAATGACAAGTATGTGTAAGACATGTGCAGTACTAAGATACTTTTTGAGATGTTTTGCTCTAGGAGCCTTCTCAATGTATTGCTTATGCTCCTTGGAGCCAAGTGTCTCCTTGATAAATATCCTGCTACTGCACATTTGTCCTAACATACATACAGTGATAGATTCAATGTAACTATCCTTCAATTAGTTTCAGCTTCAAATGCTTTAAAACTGAGTGACTTGGTTTTACAAAACATACTAATAGGTAGAATACAATGAAGTGAGATCTTCAAAAAATTAGGATGATAAAGTGCATGAACAGCAAAAATAGAAATGGGGAAATAGGAAATTAGAAATTGTTGTATCACTCAACTAGTCCTAATACCAATATTATTTTTTTTTACCTCATATGCTTAAGCTATCTTCTCTACATATACTATTTAGATTTAATTAGGTTAACAGTAATTAAATATAACCAATTACAACACACAATAAATGCAATAATGAATAAAGGCAAGACTATGTTTTCATGCATGAAAAGAAAATGAGGAAACCACCAAGACTTGAGGAAGGATGGGAGTGAAAACCTAATGTTCACATATTAGTGTCAGTCACTAATTTCATGTCTGCATAAATAACTCATTATGACTGTAACCAGGGGAGCAAGGAGCTAGTAACCCCTTCTCCTGTATACATTACTAAAGTTAAAAGGAGAAACTTTTGTTTTTCTTTTTTGGGCCACCCTGCCTCAGTGGGATACGGCTGGTTTGTTGAAAGATGAAAGATTGTCATCAGATATAAACATGAAAACAGGTCATTACCACTGTAACTTGTTCAGCTATCAAAACTCTGGCCCAGTCTCTGGGCCCATTAAGTACCTCTGTAATCTTTTGAATACCACCCATGGGATGGGTATTGGGTGCATAATAGATATTAAACTCACTTTATTCATCAGTCTTTGAGTCATAATGGATGTTTGCTTAGAATGATTGGTATTATAATGGAAGTGATGTAGTCCATGACAGTCAGAAATCAACAAGTAGGTGCTGGAGGGTAGTACAGGCACACAAGTAAGGCAGGGACAATGTGTGGCTACAGGAAGGTAAAAATGGCAGTTGCATAAGATAGAAAGAAATAAGGCAATGAAAAAAGTGTACATGGTCAGAACTGCAGAAATGAAAAATAAGAGCTAGCAACAAATGAAAGAAGAACTTGTTTAGTTATGGAGGAAGAAGAGTGGGGAGAAGAATAAGAATAAAAGTAGAGCAGAAGTGAGAGGGGTGGAAGAGGAAAAAGTGAAGGAGGGAAGGTAAAGGGGAATGTGTGGAAGGGAGGGGTAGGGTTAGCAGGAAGAGAAGAATAGAGAAAAAAATGAATAGGGGACTCTTGTATTACAACAGGTAAGTGTAGAATGTGCAATATGACGTAAAATTATTTATCTATATTTGCAGGCATGGGCCTGTTTCTTAACTGACCTACATTTATTTTCAATTAATAAAATGCAAAATAATAATAAACAGAATCTAAAAGCGTGATATTAATGAACAACTCTAAATCAATTCTAATAAGGGTATAAGCAAGAAAGAAAATTATACCTAATACATCTTTTCATTCATCCCATTAACACTATATAATTTTAATTTAGAAAGTGGAATGATAAAAACATTTGAAATAAGCTTTTATATTAAAATTTTATAACCGTCATTGCTATATAAAAGCTGTTATTTTAGCCACCCACAGACAGAATACCTAATTGCCATTTTTTCAAGTACAGTACCTAAATCTTTACTAAAAGGGACAAATTTTACTTAAGAGAAAAATTACCTATTATCCAGATCCTGGGATAGAAATGAGCATACATGTGAAAAATTATTACAATTTTTTTTTTTTTCAACAAGTCGGCTGTCTCCCACCGAGGCAGGGTGACCCAAAAAAGAAAGAAAATCCCCAAAAAGAAAATACTTTCATCATCATTTAACACTTTCACCACACTCACACATTATCACTGCTTTTGCAGAGGTGCTCAGAATACAACAGTTTAGAAGCATATATGTATAAAGATACACAACATACCCCTCCAAACTGCCAATATCCCAAACCCCTCCTTTAAAGTGCAGGCATTGTACTTCCCATTTCCAGGACTCAAGTCCGACTATATGAAAACAACCCGGTTTCCCTGAATCCCTTCACTAAATATTACCCTGCTCACACTCCAACAGATCGTCAGGTCCCAAGTATCATTCGTCTCCATTCACTCCTATCTAATACGCTCATGCACGCTTGCTGGAAGTCCAAGCCCCTCGCCCACAAAACCTCCTTACCCCCTCTTTCCAACCCTTTCGAGGACGACCCCTACCCCTCCTTCCTTCCTCTATAGATTTATATGCTTTCCATGTCATTCTACTTTGATCCATTCTCTCTAAATGACCAAACCACCTCAAACAAACCCCTCTTCTGCCCTCTGACTAATGCTTTTATTAACTCCACACCTTCTCCTAATTTCCACACTCTGAATTTTTTGCATAATATTTACACCACACATTGCCCTTAGACAGGACATCTCCACTGCCTCCCAACCGTCTCCTCGCTGCTGCATTTACCACCCAAGCTTCACATCCATATAAGAGTGTTGGTACTACTATGCCTTCATACATTCCCTTCTTTGCCTCCATAGATAATGTTTTTTGACTCCACATATACCTCAACGCACCACTCACCTTTTTTCCCTCATCAATTCTATGATTAACCTCATCCTTCATAAATCCATCCGCCGACACGTCAACTCCCAAGTATCTGAAAACATTCACTTCTTCCATACTCCTCCTCCCCAATTTGATATCCAATTTTTCTTTGTCTAAATCATTTGATACCCTCATCACCTTACTCTTTTCTATGTTCACTTTCAACTTTCTACCTTTACACACATTCTCAAACTCATCTATTAACCTTTGCAATTTTTCTTTAGAATCTCCCATTATTACAATTATTACAATACAGTATATTAATGTAAGGCTCTAAATCTATGTGGAGCAATCAGCACTGTATGATAATGGAATTACCAACATCAGAGGTAAAAGGACAAGCCAGCAAACTAAATTGTATTGGATATGATGTTGAACTGTTATAGGGTTACCTAGTTTCCAGATTTGGTTGACTGTTGGCTGTGAAATGTCATGTCTACAACAAATAAGTACCCAATCATTTAATGTAAAGAATGAGAGGATTTGTTGGCCTAGGCCAGGAGTCCATAGGTAAATTTAAGATAACTCAGTACACACTCAGATGAACTGAAATTCAAAACTTTTGTCCACATCTGAGGCCCAAAGACATTATTCAGAGGAATCAGAAGTGAGAACAGAGGTGGGTGAGAAAGGTTAGTGTTTATGACAGTACTGTGACTTGGAAAATATGTTGCTGGGATCTTGCTTAAGTGGTTGATAAAATGTCAGTGCTTTGAAGATGGTGGGTCTATTTTTAAACACCTGCCTTTGTCTGGTGATAACAGAAAATGGCTAGCTCTAGATAGAAAGGTCCAGCCTGCTATTAGTGCCATTCTGAATCACCCTCCTGGTTTTAATTTTATAATTCCATATAAAGAAAGAAAAAGAAACGTGGCCCCTGATGAAGTACTGTATAAATATGCTGTGATTTGCAAATCACTCAGAACAAATACCTTTTTGATATTCCTCATTTCTGCCTGAACCTCTATAAAAGCAATGCAAATAAAAGGGTGAAAAAATATGGAATAACTTGTCAGATAAAGTAAAAAAATTGTGACTTTCTTAATGAATTAAAAAAAAATAAAAGTGTACTAAACATTTAGCCTGAAACAATTTCTAGTATAATTCCTTAAATTGTCATTACTATATGCATTTTACATCCCAGTTATAAATTATACCATGTTCCCTTTCTTTTTTTTTATATAATATCTCTAACTGTAGTTACAATATTACTTCCATATTTTTTTTTTTTTTTATTTTGAAAATAAATTTAACTTTAACACTGAATCTTAATTTAATGTCTTTCACTAAATGCACAATATTAGCTAAAATTTGTAATACGTATAGTACACATTACCAGTGTATAATTTTATATACAATGTCCACTATAATTTGTATTTTTATATTTTTAGCATTCACCCTAGTTTTAAACTAATAGACATGCTAAGCATAACCATTTATTGTTAATTGTTAACCTGCTATTGTAATTCTAATGCATCTTTTAGGGAAATAAAATTATTTTTAGATTATATACTGTACCAAAGAAATTATCAGACATTTTCTAGCTCCTACAGGACTAAAAATGTTGCATCTCCAGCTTGCCTCACACTAGTATAGTAAATCAAAATCAGCAAAATGATTAAGGTGGATCAACACTGAGCCTCTGCTTTCAATAAGTTTTTATTTATGGGGAAAAGTAGTGGCAGCTCTTAAAACCATCTCCTCAGCAGAAGCTTCACTGACATTTTTTGTGAACCCATCAAAAACTTCAAGACTTCAATCCCTTTCCCCTCCAACAAAAGTGGCTTTTTACAGAGATCGTATGGCAGAGAGTGGACAACTTTTATTGTTGTGATTAATAATAGATTGTAGGTAATCAAGAACTCACATGAGGATTGTGCTGTTTTAACAACTTCCTTACTTTATTAAGAGCACCCAAACAATTTTAGGTACAATAATAATACTAAAACAGTATATCATTTGTTTTCCCATTTTCATTGTATTAATAAACATCCACATCAATTTACAATCGCTTACATAATATTCTGGCCCCAAAGCATTAAGAATTGTAGTCCTATAAATTATTTAAACACACTGTTATTAAAATATAATAACTGTTTTAGCTAACAATTCACTGGTAACAATATAATCTTTTAATATAAAATTTACATATGTCATATATGGTACAAACCTGGTACCAATTTAACAGCTAAAAATTACTTAAATTAATTTTCAATATAAACTGTATACAATGCCAGGCACTCCAACATTTAACAATCATACATAATGTTTACTGCACTGCAAAATAAACATTTTCTACAATATCCAAATTCATGGCAAGGTTACATTAATGTTAGAAACTATAAAAATTTATCCTGAGAGCAAACAATCTCTCTTTCACAGATAGACACACACATACATGCAGAGTACAGGCAGACAGACAGACACACACAAGCAAACAGACAGACAGACATACACACACACACACTGGGCCAGGATCTGTGACCTGACTCCTGCACCAAAAATAAGGTGAGTATGTGAGCACACACACACACACACACACCTACCTGCAGCCAGAAACAGAAGAGTACAAAGAGATGAGCACATGTTTGGAGTGACATTTAAATTGTCATATTTGGGCACCTCTGCAAAGACAGTGATTATGTGTGAATGATGGTGAATGTGTTGAATGATGGTGAAAGTGTTTCTTTTTTGGGTCACCCTGCCTCAGTGGAGAAACACTTTCACCATCATTCACACTATCACTGTCCTGCCAGAGGCACATATCCATCTATCCATTTGAAATTATCAGTTTTACAATAAGTCATTAAAATATTTAAAGTTTTGAAACATTTAAAATAAGACATGAATTACTTGATATTTTACATGAAGATTCAGTTTCAACAAATGTTACATAAAACTACTGTTATTTAAATATGGACAGCCATTTAAACAACAATAAATTTATTATCATTCACAGGTCATGAATACAAAAAAATAACATAAAATGAGATGTAGTAAAGTAAGAATTACATTAATTCATTACTCAGCAAGTATCCTGAAAGTTTCTATTAATATAAAAGTTAATTCTCATATAAACTTAAAGCACTTTTGTTTATCATGTGGAAGTCTTGTCTTAAAGAGAACAGAGTCCACACGATATTGTGTATTTAGAAGAGGGTTATAGCCATAAACCTGAAACAAAAGACAGTGATTGTCAGTTAAACTAATTTATATTTGCTGCAATTAAAATAAAGTTACTCAAGCAGGACAAACCCTTAATGGGAATTTATGCTATTCAGTATAGTACAGGTTTCCCTCACTTTATTTGAAATCACTATTATATGTTGTCCTATTTCTATTAGTAATTCTATATGCAAAATGCATACAGAATTACTAATAGAACAATTGCTGCAACTTGCAAAGCACATAAAAGATTTATATTGTGCACAATTAAGTGTTAATGGCACCATGGAGCTTAATATAGCTGCCATGGATCTGAAATGCATCTCCTGCATAAAACAAGAAAAACCTGTATCTATATTTCAATGTCAATTTCCTTCATTAGCAATAAGGTGAACTGTGACACTTGCATTTTTTAATTAATTTACAAAGTAAAATAAGAAAAGACATCAACTGTATCTAAGTAGTATATAAAAAAGCCTGATATGTACATCTGGCAACAAGGTGGCTGAACATAACTAGGAAGTGTTCAAATCTACCAGAATATAACTCATGTTGAAAGAAAGATTTGCATCGAGAGTACAAAGAACTCACCTGAGTAAAGAAGTTTATGCAACTATGACGCTCTGTAAAATGCGAGTCATCTTCAGACAAGGAAACTGGGCAACCAGGACAGCGAAATGTCCAACGTGAAGTAACCTGCAAATTGATGGGGCACCAATTTATTTAACATGTTATTTAAAAATAATGCCATTTGAATTATAAATCATCATCTTTCAACAAACTGGCCATATCCCACTGAGGCAGGGTGGCCCAAAAGAAAAAGCGAAACTCTCTCCTTTGAAATTTAGTGATATATACAGGAGTAGGGGTTACTAGCCCCTTGCTCCTGGCATTTTAGTCACCTCTTACGACATGCATGGCTTACTGAGGAAGAATTCTGTTTCACTTTCCCATGGAGATAAGCGTAAATAAACAAGAACAAGAACCAATAAGAAAATGGAAGAAAACCCAGAGGGGTGTGTATATATATGCTTGTACATGCATGTGTAGTGTGACCTAAGTGTAAGTAGAAGTAGCAAGATATATCTGAAATCTTGCATGTGTTTTTTTTTTTTTTCAACAAACCGGCCATATCCCACCAAGGCAGGGTGGCCCAAAAAGAAAAACGAAAGTTTCTCTTTTTAAATTTAGTAATTTATACAAGAGAAGGGGTTACTAGCCCCTTGCTCCCGGCATTTTAGTCGTCTCTTACAACACGCATGGCTTACGGAGGAAGAATTCTGTTCCACTTCCCCATGGAGATAAGAGGAAATAAACAAGAATAAGAACTAGAAAGAAACAGAAGAAAACCCAGAGGGGTGTGTATGTATATGCTTGTACTTGTATGTGCAGTGTGACCTAAGTGTAAGTAGAAGTAGCAAGACATACCTGAAATCTTGCATGTTTATGAGACAGAAAAAAGGACACCAGCAATCCTACCATCATGTAAAACAATTACTAGCTTGAATTATAAATACGCACACAATAAATTTTTGTTAAGCATAATTTGCTTTACATACACTACCTCTTTCATAGAAAACTGTTCAAAACAAACTTTCAAGAGTAAAGCAAGTATGATGATTCTGAGCTTTTCAACCAAAAAATGTCATAAAAGTTTTTAAAATAACTAGGATAAATTCAACAAGGACATCAGTGATACCAAAGCAATAAATTTTTTGTTCCATCACTTCAGTGTTTTGATGTGATATGGCATATGATTTTAATCCTATTATAAATTTTAGAATTCAGTGGTAACTTGACTTACAAGATTGTTTACAATTGGCTTGTGGAATATTAGAAATACATATATTCCAAATATTTTGCAATTTGTGTGAGAGTAAAGGGCAAGACATTTTGCAAATGTTAAAAACTTAGCAACTTTATTTTTTTGTAGAATAACTAAAGATAATTACATGATTACCTCCAGTGAGAACATCGCACTAGCATTGTTTTATAAGTACCAAGTCCCAAAACCACCTTTCGTTGTGCCATTTAGGCCAGGGTTCTTGCCAAATGTCATTTTAAGTAAATATTTTTTTTTTATCATAACTCGGACTCTGGCTCGCAACTCAAAGTAAAAAATCGACCGAGCAATGGCTCATAACTCTGGAAACTCGTAAGTTGGGCCACTCGTAAGTCAAGGTACCACTGTAGTACCCCCTATTTCTAGTGGCAGCTCCAAGGGAAGGCAAGAGGGGGGTTCAACCCCCATAGTCTTTATTAGCACCTCCTTAATGCCACCCCAAATAAAAATAATAATGACCCAGCTTCAAGGCAAGTCCCCCTAGTCCAATCTTCTAACCAGACTGCTGTTTCTAAGCCCGTTTTGGAATGGTCACCGACTATTTCCTTTTTAATCCTCTGAGTTTAAAAAAACAAAAAAATTGTACTTGGATCCAATTCCTCTAGTTGGGTCACTGGTTTGGACATTTAAGCAGCTATCAGATCAGGTCATGTCATAGGAAGGTTGCAAACTAAGTCAACACATTGGCCTGGAATCCTGTTGGTGTGTTACCAAGTGGGTATCAAGTAGTGTGGCACTATGGTATACACCATCTTGGCACTATATGAGTACCATGTGGTTTAGCACTATGTGGGCATTGCATAGTGTGGCACTATGTGGGTATCACATAGTGTGGCACTATATGAGCATCATGTGGTGTAGCACCTTGTGGATATTATATGGTGTGGCACCATGTCAATATTACATGGTGTAGCACCACATAATATCTACATAGTGTAGCACCATGTAATATCTACATGGTGTGGTACCATATAATATCTACATGGTGTAGCACCATGTAGATATTACATGGTGCTACACCATTGTGTAGATATTACATGATATGACACCATGTGGATATTACATGGTGTAGCACCATGCAGACACCATACAGTGTGATGACAGTGAATGTTTTTCCTCTTTTATGTCACCTTAAGTCGGTGAAAAATGTTCATTGAGGCAAAAAACAAAAAATAAAAGCAAAAAAAAATCAGATGACATCTTTGAGCACTCTTACCTTGACAGGTGGTTTTCTTGTTATATGTGAGACTAGAAAGTTCATGGCAATGTCTTCACAATTCACATATTCATCCACTTTGTCTCGTATGGCTTGTGGCATCACATGAGAATACATGCTGGCATAATATTTGTGAAAAAAGGCAGCACCTACAATAAAGAAAGTATAGGTACAATAAAAAAAAAGATATAAAAATATCAAATCCTATGATTTTAAAAGACTCATGGGTAAACACAGGACATGTTTATTAGAATATGTTTTAGTGTTTGTTCACATGTCTTATTAAACCATTACCATAGTTCATACCATCAAATTCTACAGTATGTAAGAAAAATATACATGTGGTAATTGGGACATTTATTAAGCATATCAGGGCACTGGAAAATGTGTAAAATAATGAGCTGCAGTACTGTAGTCTCTCCATTTACATGAAGGATGAGTGGATGCTGGTGGATGGTCTCACAACAGGAAATGAACTTGTGACTATTATTGTGTACCAGAATGATAACCAGTCTGTCAACTACTGTATTTTATGGCATCAAAGATGCTATTTTTCTCCCAAAATAAGTCTTGAAAATTTACCCAGCATCTTGGAGGCCAAAGTACCATTTACACATTTTTTTTTTCAAAACTTAGCCAATCAGAATTGGGGGGCATCCTGGACACCAGAGTCTTGTTCACCATGAAATACAGTAGACCATAAAATACGGTATACCCTTCAATACTTTCAAAAGATAGCAAAATTTAAACATCTTCAGGATTACAAAATTTATATATAATGAATATAAAACCTTAAACAAAATTTCCAGTAAACCCAGAATAACTTTTACCTGTTAATACCATGGAGAGTTCACAGGAGTAGTTGGAGTTGTAGAGCCAACCACCATAGTTCAAGTCCCACGCATGATATCGACCAGGGAACCCCACAATTCGGTCTCTCTCTTCTCTCCATACTCTTAAAAGTGACACTTAATTATCAATAACCTATCATTTACAAGATTTAAAAAAGATATAACATATACTGTACATTTTTGACACCTTGAAGCTTGTACATATGGAGAATCTTCCCTAATGCTGTATAATCTTCCGGGTTTAGCGCTTCCCCCTTGATTATAATAATAATAATAATCTTCCCTAATTATTTCAACCAACTACAAATACCAATAAGTTTATTTCAACATGACATATTGTTTATACAGAAATGGGTGACACTTTAGTGCATGTTGAAAATTCATAGTTATGCAGAGCATTTTGAGCAAGCTTAAGCCTAACTTAAGACTGCAAGGGCAATAAGCATTCATGAAGTGTGTGTGCTAAAGGACAGCAGCAATAATTAAAACAACTAGTGGTAACTACAAGTACAAAAAACATTTTAAGCTCAATACAAGTCAAAGAGATATTTAAATATTATAACAAATGAAATTACAGTACTGCATCATTCTTGCACACAAAAAAAAAAAAAAATAACAGCTTACTAAAATGAATTATATACATACTGACCTAAACCCAAACACAATCTCGTCATGGCGCAAGTGAGCATCATCGTCCACAGACAGCACAGCTTCTGTCTCTATTTCTGAATAAGGTAGGAAACGGTTGTTAAGGCTGTTACGCTCTGCTCTTATCACCTGCAATCACAAAATGACCATCAACATCCCTCCCACTTCTCTATAAAAAAAAATTCTCTGAAATGGTTAAAAATAATTACTAATTTAATTTTATTGTTTAAAGTTAGAAAATAAGTACTAGTTTTTTTAACATGTTGCCCGTCTCCCACTGAGCAGGGTGACCCAAAAAAGAAATGCTTTCACCATCATTCATACATAATCACTGTCTTTGCAGAGGCACTCAGATATGACAGTACAGATGTCATTCCAAACAGTCAATATCCCAAACCCCTCCTTTAACCCTTAAACTGTCCAAACGTAGATCTACTTTCACATGCAGGGGGCTCCGAACGTAGATCTGTTTTTTTTACATGCTTTCAAATGTGGAAAATAAAGGTCGGAGCACTACGCACGTGAATGTAGATCTACGTTTGGACAGTTTAAGGGTTAAACTGTCCAAACGTAGATCTACATTCACTCACGTGGCACTCCAAATACAGTGGACCCCCGCTTAACGATCACCTCCCAATGCGACCAATTATGTAAGTGTATTTATGTAAGTGCGTTTGTACGTGTATGTTTGGGGGTCTGAAATGGACTAATCTAATTCACAATATTCCTTATGGGAACAAATTCGGTCTGTACTGGCACCTGAACATACTTCTGGAATGAAAAAATATCGTTAACCGGGGGTCCACTGTATTTTGAAAAATAATAAAAATAGCTTTTTTCTTTTAAAATGAAGAGCATATTTATCTACATGCTATAGGATTAAAAAAAATGTTTAGTCAGTACTTACCAAGATATAAGACCGTGAAGTTGGCTCTGGATGCTCACCTGTCGGCAACATCAACTCCTGCCGCTTGCAGAAGTGTTGCCGATATACCTTTTTTTTCTCGTTTTTATTTTAATTTACATAATTTTTTTGTTCTGATAATTACAATTTATAATAGTTCTTGTAATTTCATAGCCAATCTTTGTTCTGACACTAATATTAGGTACTGAAATAGTGCTCAAATAGTCACAATCACATTGACAGGTGAACATTTACACCTGCTTGGGTTATTTACTATTGTCTAGAAATACTATATACAAAGTATTTATAGGTCCCAGCAATGTTTTAGATACTCTGGTGTATACCTTGAAGCATGTTGTTATGAAAGGCATCCCTATACTGTTGATAGCCCAGTGACATTTGATAAATGCCCACAGCTCCAGCTAACCTTCGCTGTATTTGTTATCACTTACACGCAAACATATCTTGTCTCTCTGTCTATTTATCTGTCTGTCTGTCTGCCTATCTATCTGCCTGCCTGCCTGTCTGTCTGTCTGTCTCTGCTTATCTTTCTGCCTGCCTGGAGTATATGTGTATCACACTCCTTGAAGAATGGTGTTATGCCATCTGTTGTGGAAAATATTTAATTTTCCGAAGCTATAGTGCCTAATAGGTGTTTAATGTGTTCATGTTGGACAAAAAATGTATTTGAAAATGGAAGAGAACCAACAGGGAACCTCTGCACCTGCGCCGATGGGCAGAGGGGAGGTCAAGATGGGGCATCGGGAGTCTCGTTGGGGATATAGACCTGGGAGACTGGGCTAGTTAACATGGAACCAGGAAATTGGCAGTTCTGACGGTCAAAATGTGATTAGTGGTCCCACTTCATAATAGGAAGTGTTGTAACTGTTCCTAATGAAGAGTGAAGGAACGTAATTTTCGGGACCACTATAACCAGGTGGTAAAATTAGTAAATAGTGGGTCCGATAGGGCACGTCATGACGAGTGTTCAGGGGGAAGATTACCAGACTATTTAATCGACGCTCATCGAGCTCAGATCTTAATGGAGCGACCTCTAATGTGTGTAAAACTCATGAGACGTTAAGTTGTCTTGTGAAATGTAGTGAAATCAGTGATAATAACACTAAGTTAAGGAATGGTTGAAGTGATATGAGCCGCCATTCCCCGAGTGAGTGAGCACATGTTAACCTTGTGATCCTGGTCCATGGAGGTTTTACAGAGTCACGGCTCCTAAATCGGAGCAAGCCAACGGATACCTCGTCCTGCTGGAATAAGAACTGTATCGGTGTAGCAGGACATCGAAATGAGATGGTGTATGGAGGAAATAAGGAGCATCAACCACCCACAGTTAAGTAACCTTTCTATTTATAGCAAACTGATACTGGCCAGTTAGGTATGTTATAATGATAAGTTGTGGGTGATCCAGCTACATCAAGTGACCACCAGAGAAAATCTGGTAAGTGGCAGTCTCGTTATGTTCACATGTAACCCCTTCCCACCTTTTCTAATCGGTCCAATTTATACATACAGTCCACAACTTATTTTTAACGCCATGCCTATTGGTGTTATCCAATCTTAATCTATGGTACTGGTCTAGGTTGGATGTGGATAAGATTTGTGAGGTCGAAGGGGTCACTTGCAGCGACCATAGGTGACTTAAGTTTTCTCACACGTCTACATGGGGTAACTACTGTAAACAATATATGGTTGTCGCCTCCCAATGAGATTACTTGTATGAATGTAATGTTGAGGTACATGCAGGTGATTTAATTTCCACATCTGTTATTAGCTCGGTGACATTTGATAAATGGGTGCTCGGGGAACCCTGGCTTTGTTTGTTTTCACTGATACATACACACACATGTTTCTGTCTTTCTGTCTGTCTATCTATCTATCTGTCTATCTTTGCCTGAATTTTTTGGATTATCCTAGGTAATTTACACTATGTATAATAACTGTACTTATGTGTACATGTGAGACAGAGATATAGATAGACAGATAAATATATAGACAGAGAGACAGCCAAAGCAAGTCAGCCGGCCAGCCTGCCAAATACACAAGAACATAAGAAAGGAACACTGCAGCAGGCCTGCTGGCCCATGCAAGGCAGGTACATGTCCCCCCCCCCCAGCTTAGACCATTGACCCACCAAGTTAGGTCACATCCACTGAAGGAAGGAGCATGACATCAGACCTAGTACCACAAGCTAGTCAGGTCCAACTCACACCCACCCACACTCACTCATGTATTTATCTAACCTATTTTTACTTTCCTCTTAAAATGGGAGTGTTAATGCGACATGGCATCAGTGAATCCCTGGTGTTTGCCATGCAATTTGCTCTAGCTGGCGCTCAATTGAACTGATGCTCCCACAAGGTACTAATGCTCCCAGATTTTTTTAATAGTGCACACATTGAGTGCACAGACCCATCCATTCATGTCTAGGCAACTCAAGCCTACTGTGCCAAATTTGAAGGAATGAAAAATAAAACAATCTACATTTGGAGTGCTATGCGTGCAAACGTAGATCTGTGTTAAGACAGTTTAAGGGTTAAAGTGCAGGCATTGCACTTCCCACCTCCAAGACTCAAGTCCGGCTAACCAGTTTCCCTGAATCCCTTCACAAAATATTACCTTGCTCACACTTCAACAGCTCGTCAGGTCTGAGAGAGTGCAAAAGAAGAGCAGATGAAAGAGTGGGAGAGGCAAGAAGTTTTGCTGAAAATAAGAAAAAATTTTGGAGTGAGATAAACAAGTTAAGAAAGCCTAGGGAACGAATGGATTTGTCAGTTAAAAACAGAGTAGGGGAGTTAGTAGATGGGGAGATGGCGGGAATATTTTGAGGAACTTTTAAATGTCGATGATGAAATGGAGGTGGTAATTTCGTGCACTGGTCAGGGAGGTATAACATCTTTTTAGGAGTGAAGAACAGCAGGATGTGAGTGTGGGGAAAGTGCGTGAGGCATTACATAGAATGCAAGGAGGTAAAGCAGCAGGAACTGACAGGGTCATGACAGAAATATTAAAAGCAAGGGAGGGGATATTGTGTCGGAGTGGTTGGTATTTTTGTTTAAGAAATGTATGAAGGAGGGGAAGGTACCTAGGGATTGGCAGAGTGTGTGTATAGTTCCTTTATATAAAGGGAAGGGGGACAAAAGAGATTGTAAAAATTATAGGGGAATAAGTTTACTGAGTCATAGGTAGAAGGTTGGTAGACAACAACCGCCCAGGGAGGTACTACCGTCCTGCCAAGTGAGTGTAAAACAAAAGCCTGTAATTGTTTTACATGATGGTAGGATTTCTGGTGTCCTTTTTTCTGTCTCATGAACATGCAAGATTTCAGGTACGTCTTGCTACTTCTACGTACATTTAGGTCACACTATACATACATGTACAAGCATATATATACACACCCCTCTGGGTTTTCTGCTATTTTCTTTCTAGTTCTTGTTCTTGTTTATTTCCTCTTGTCTCCATGAGGAAGTGGAACAGAATTCTTCCTCCGTAAGCCATGTGTGTTGTAAGAGGTGACTAAAATGCCAGGAGCAAGGGGCTAGTAACCCCTTCTGTATAAATTACTAAATTTGAAAAGATAAACTTTTGTTTTTCTTTTTGGGCCACCCTGCCTTGGTGGGATACGGCCGGTTTGTTGAAAGAATGAAGAAGAAGTTTACTGAGTATACCAGGTAAAGTGTATGGTAGGGTTATTATTGAAAGAATTAGAGATAAGACAAAGAGTAGGATTGCAGATGAGCAAGGAGGTTTTAGAGTGGGTAGGGATGTGTAGATCAAGTGTTTACATTGAAGCATATATGTGAACAGTATTTAGATAAAGGTAGGGAAGTTTTCATTGCATTTATGGATTTAGAAAAGGCACATGATAGAGTGGATAGGGGAGCAATGTGGCAGATGTTGCAAGTGTATGGAATAGGTAGTAAGTTACTAAATGCTGTAAAGAGCTTTTATAAGGATAGTGAGGCTCAGGTTAGGGTGTGTAGGAGAGAGGGAGATTACTTTCCAGACAGGGATGTGTAATGTCACCATGGTTGTTTAATACAGTGGACCCTCGACTAACGCTATTAATCCGTTCCTGAGAGCTCATCGTTAGTCAAAATTATCGTTAGTCAAGTTAATTTTCCCCATAAGAAATAATGGAAATCAAATTAATCCGTGTAGGACACCCCAAAGTATGAAAAAAAAATTGTTTTTACCACATGAAATATTAATTTTAATACACACAAACTGAAGAAGACATGCACAGTTACATGACACTTACCTTTATTGAAGATCTGGTGATGATTGATGAGATGGGAGGAGGGAAGAGTGTTGATGGTCTTAGAGTTTAGAAGGGGAATCCCCTTCCATTAGGACTTGAGGTGGCAAGTCCTTTTCCAGGGTTACTTCCCTTCCCTTTAAATCTCTCAAACCAACCTTTGCTGGCCTTAAATTCACTCACATCACCACTAGTTGCTGGCATTTTTTTAATTAAATTGTCATGCAACTTCCTAGCCTTTTCACATGCTGGCATTTTTTTAATTAAATCGTCATGCAACTTCCTAGCCTTTTCACATATGATCGCTTGAGAGATGCTATCTCCTGCTATCTGTTTTTCGTTTATCCACACCAATAACAGTCTCTCAACATCTTCGAGTACTTGCGATCTCAGTTTCGAAAACATAGTTGCACCTTTGGCAAGAACAGCTTCCTTGATTGCCGTTTTCTTGGCCACAATAGTAGCGATTGTTGATTGGGGTTTTGTGTACAACCTGGCCAGCTCGGAGACATGCACTCCACTTTCATACTTAGCAATGATCTCTTTCTTCATATCCATAGTAATTCTCACCCTTTTTGCTGTAGGGTTGGCACTAGAAGCTTTCTTGGGGCCCATGGTGACTTATTTTGCAGGTGCAATCACTAAAAAGGCTATGATAATATGAAATGTTCCGATTGTATGCTTGGAAGCGACCGCGGTGGCTGGCTGGCTTGTAAACACTGGCCAGAAGTGGACGCGTCTCAGACGGAACGAATAGTGTTGGTCGAGTTTTTTAGCGCTAGTCGAGGCAAAAATTTTGCGTTAAAATGTATCGCTAGTCGGATTTATCGTTAATCGATGCCATCGTTGGTCGAGGGTCCACTGTATATTTATAGATGGGGTTTTAAAAGAAATAAATGCTAGGGTGTTGGGGAGAGGAATTGGATTAAATTATGGGGAATCAAGTACAAAATGGGAGTTGACACAGTTACTTTTTGCTGATGATACTATGCTTATGGGAGATTCTAAAGAAAAGTTGCAAAGGTTAGTAGACGAGTTTGGAGGGGGTAAAGAAGGTTTTGTGGACGAGGGGCTTGGACTTCCAGCAAGCGTGTGTGAGCGTGTTAGATAGGAGTAAATGGAGACGAATGATTTTTGGGACTTGACGAGCTGTTGGAGTGTGAGCAGGGTAATATTTAGTGAAGGGATTCAGGGAAACCGGTTATTATAGATTTAGCCGCACTTGACTCCTGGAAATGGGAAGTACAATGCCTGCACTTTAAAGGAGGGGTCTGGGATATTGACAGTTTGGAGGGACTTCTAAACTGTCGTATCTGAGCGCCTCTGCAAAGACAGTGATTATGTATGAGTGAGGTGAAAGTATTGAATGATGATGAAAGTATTTTCTTTTTTGGGATTTTCTTTCTTTTTGGGTCACCCTGCCTTGGTGGGAGACGGCCGACTTGTTAAAAAAAAAAAAATTATAATGTACTGTACTGTACAGCACAGTATTGAGAAAATAAGATAATGAATGTCATCTTTATTAAATAACTAGCATGATGTATTCAGGACAAAACTGAACTGCAGTAATTACAGTAATCTGACTTTAAATTACTCAATATCAAGCAGCTTAAAGTTCTAGTTTTAATCTGCCCAAAATGATCTCCATAACCAGAGGTTTTATGCTCTAATAGTATTACTCCTAGTTGAAATTTGCTCTAAAAGCATTACAAAATACTGACGGAAGAAACAACGAATGTAAATCAATCTTTGTAACACAGGTGTATCTTCATGGAAATTCAACATTTATTATTATTATTATTATTGCAGAACATCAGATAATAAACCAAAGATTCAGTTCATTAAATTTCTTCAGTGATGTGCTTTAACAGTATTTCCTTAAAATCCGGTGAGATACTGACCTGGATTGGGACCTTAATATCAGGCCACCGCAAGTCCTCTGGTGGGGGCTTTGGTGAATTCCATACAACAATCACCTTGTTTAGATAAGGCAAGCCATACAGGCGAGCCAGAGAATTCAGCAATACCTTAAAAATAAAGAATTAACTGAAAATATACAGTAGGGCACCAACACATAAATGAATTGCATTCCAGTGTTTCGAAATACAAACAAGTTGTTTGTAACCCTGACTCAATTATCCTACAAAATGTGATAGTATAAAGAAATGTTATTTATCATACATGTTTATAACTCAGGTTATCATTCATAAAATAATTATTTTGTCAGTATTCCATCATTTTTTGGGGCGTCTGTAGGTGTCCATGGATTATCTTGCTGTAATTCACATTACTGTAAGTTGGGGCCCTACGGTATCTCAATTTTCACACTAAATATTCCTGTCAAATTTAAAAAAAATATATATACTGTACAGACTGTATGTTTTAAATATAATGGCTTTCCAACCAACTTGCAGGCTAAGTAGTCTGCAAGGTGCTGGTAGCAATAACCTGGTTGATCAAGCAGTCAACAGGGAAGCCTGGCTTCAGGTCAGGCTGCAGGATAAAACAGCCCTCAAAACTGGTCACTGCTATGTCACAGGTATACCATCACTTCCTCTTTGGCTAGCTTTCCAGAAGATCACAGACATCATGTTCAAATAATGGCTCCCCAAACTACAATATTCCCAGTTGACTTTTGAAGTTGAAGGATTGTACTTCCCACTTCTAAAACTTAAGTCCAGCTAGATGATTTCCCCTAATTCCCTTTCCACGTGACAGTGAAATATAAGCCTGTTGGCAGCTTTAGAGTGCAGGATTACTGGTCCTTACTCAATGTCTCAAACATGCAAGATAGCAGGTAAATCTTATAAACTTCTCTAGTACTTTCAATTGATATGCAATAAATTCAATATGCAACACATTACCATATTACTACAGTATTATGACCACTTTGAACATTGTTATACTTCTTAAACTTTAATTTGGTATTACATAGAATAAAAAATTGCCATAGTAATTAAAGACATCCTCAGTATTATTCATGTGAAACATGCTGGATTTTTTTATTTTTACTACAATATAAAACTTCTCATTCAAACTCTCCCAACCCTTTGTATTTTGTTGTGTGTTAAGACATCTAGCTTCTTGTTATTCTTAACATCAACAATCAATAATTTGTGAACAACTTTACTGCTTCCACACTCATTTGAACAGCTCAAGATCAACATTTCCTTCTTCCTTGGTGTGGTTATTATATGATGAAAAAATATCAATCAGCTGCTTGCACCACACAAGTTACTCACTTTCTACACTACACATACCTAGAGGAAAGAATTCTAACCTGTTTTCCCAGAGAATTAGTAAGGCTATTTATTATAGGAGGTAGGTTACTGAAAGCAGTGAAGAGTTTTTACGAGGATAGTGAGGCTCAAGTTAGAGTATGTAGGAAAGAGGGAAATTATTTCCCAGTAAAAGTAGGCCTTAGACAAGGATGTGTGATGTCACTGTGGTTGTTTAATATATTTATAGATGGGGTTGTAAGAGAAGTAAATGCGAGGGTCTTGGCAAGAGGCATGGAGTTAAAAGATAAAGAATCACACATAAAGTGGGAGTTGTCACAGTTGCTCTTTGCTGATGACACTGTGCTCTTGGAAGATTCTGAAGAGAAGTTGCAGAGATTGGTGGATGAATTTGGTAGGGTATGTAAAAGAAGAAAATTAAAAGTGAATACAGGAAAGAGTAAGGTTATGAGGTTAACAAAAAGATTAGGTGATGAAAGATTGGATATCAGATTGGAGGGAGAGAGCATGGAGGAGGTGAATGTATTCATATATTTGGGAGTGGACGTGTCAGCGGATGGGTCTATGAAAGATGAGGTGAATCATAGAATTGATGAGGGGAAAAGGGTGAGTGGTGCACTTAGGAGTCTGTGGAGACAAAGAACTTTGTCCTTGGAGGCAAAGAGGGGAATGTATGAGAGTATAGTTTTACCAACGCTCCTATATGGGTGTGAAGCATGGGTGATGAATGTTGCAGCGAGGAGAAGGCTGGAGGCAGTGGAGATGTCATGTCTGAGGGCAATGTGTGGTGTGAATATAATGCAGAGAATTCGTAGTTTGGAGTTAGGAGGAGGTGCGGGATTACCAAAACTGTTGTCCAGAGGGCTGAGGAAGTGTTGTTGAGGTGGTTCGGACATGTAGAAAGAATGGAGCGAAACAGAGTGACTTCAAGAGTGTATCAGTCTGTAGTGGAAGGAAGGCGGGGTAGGGGTCGGCCTAGGAAAGGTTGGAGGGAGGGGGTAAAGGTGGTTTTGTGTGCGAGGGGCTTGGACTTCCAGCAGGCATGTGTGAGCGTGTTTGATAGGAGTGAATGGAGACAAATGGTTTTTAATACTTGACATGCTGTTGGAGTGTGAGCAAAGTAACATTTATGAAGGGGTTCAGGGAAACCGGCAGGCCGGACTTGAGTCCTGGAGATGGGAAGTACAGTGCCTGCACTCTGAAGGAGGGGTGTTAATGCTGCAGTTTAAAAACTGTAGTGTAAAGCACCCTTCTGGCAAGAAAGTGATGGAGTGAATGATGGTGAAAGTTTTTCTTTTTCGGGCCACTCTGCCTTGGTGGGAATCGGCCAGTGTGATAATAATAATAATAAAATTTATTATATTATTCAAGAAAAGCAATAAATCAATAAGAGGCATTCAGTGCTACTTGGCAGATGAGAAATAGTAGAGAGAAACGGTGAAGATATCACTGGTAGTATGTCAGCAGAGAAGGGAGGGGGAAGAAGTTAACAGCTGATGTAGCAGATCAGTGTCAACTAAGAAACCATAGACAGCATAAAGGCAAGACTTAGAGATGGGTTGAGAAAGAAAAGCTGTGAATTGAAAAATTACAGAATAAAGAAAAAGAAGAGGAAAGAGAGAATTTAAAGATAAGCTGAAGTCATTAAAATTTATCTGCTACCTCAATGTTCAAGAAATAGAAAGAAAAAAAAGAAAAAAAAATCTTGTCAAGTGTGCTGAGAAATACAGTAAATGGACTATTATTTTCATTTGCATATCAAAAAGGCAGTAGTGCCTTCCTAGGTAAACAGGCCTTATAAAGCAAGTATATACAGAGCATTTAATAAACAGTTTGGGAACTTTAATGGAAAATTTGTTTATTAAAGTTTGTCAACTGTAAAGTTTACCTAAATTCCTATGCCATTAGTCATACCTGTTCTCTTTCATATGTCAACATTACAATTGTAAACTGCTCCTTGGGTAAGTTTCCACCAAGACTCTCGCTGAATTCCTTTCCAGACCCTCCAGAACCTCCATTGATTGGACGAAATCCAAGCTTGGAGCCCGAGAATTTGGCTTCTGTTGGTAATATTGGATTTGTAGGAAGATTAGGGTAAAGGTTGAAGGGGTCACCCCAAATATTCCAGATCTCATATCCGTTCAACAGTGAGGTGGTGTAGTTACGAGTGAAAACGGTAGATGGAAATGGAGGCTCAATAGGTCCAAGGTTTTCATCTGTGTCAGGATCTGGTATGTTGGCATCAGTTTTCAGAGGCTATAAGAGACAGAGTGAGTTATAGATAAATACTGAAGAACTGTCTAAAGGCTGTGTATATTAAACATACACTGTAAACAAAGACATACAGCAGATACGGCTTATTTTTTAAATAAATTTTACTTGAATTCTTCTTGAAATGACATAGCATCATAAAAAGATATGGTATTTCATATAATAAAAAAATCTAAATTAACTTACCACAAAAGAGTCATTAAAGACACTGACTGAAGGTTCTTCAGCTGCTGAAAGTGGTGGAATATTGAGTCTCTGTCTCAGTGTTGCTAAAATAGAGTCAACTAAAACCTGAGTTGACCCCAAGAATCGCTCCCAAACCAGACGACCCTGACGACGCATGAAAAGAATGTCCCCATCTGACACTGACCGAAGTAGAAAATGGAGCTCTGTAACACGAGCTTTTGGCAAAACAAGGGCTAATTTGTGCCAATCAATGGTTTCACTTAGAGGTAGCTCAATGTGATTGCCCAGAATAACAGGAATGGCTCCATATTTAATGGCTTCATAAATTCGTGCCTGTAAGGTGATAGTAGTAACTTCAGAAGATGACAGAGGTGCCATTACTAAAGAAAATGTGGAATCCCGAAGGACCTGGGTGCGCATGCTTTCAGTTTCACACATTTGCCATTCCTCTAAGTCTCCATATCCCCCACTTCCTTGGCAAGTAAATTGTAACATAAAGTGGTCATCTGTGTGAGTATGCTCAAGCTGCATTAACTCTTCAACAACTGCAACTTCTTCTCTTATTTCAGGATTGTTGGACAGAGGGTGTTCTTCTTTATCCAAATAATTTCTTAGCCGTGGTAATTCTCCTTGAAATGCTAATAGATATTTCCTCTTTGCAGGCACAAGTGGGGGAAGGTTTTGCCAAAGGTCACCACCAGGAAGGCCAAGAAGTGGAGGGGTCACCAGATCAAACCCAGGTCGATATTGATGAGAATAAAAGTGAGACTGAACTGTTATTGCTCGAGCAATGTTGACACCTTCAAAAATATTTTTACTGTAAAATGTCCTTCCGAGATTGAGAAGGACGTGGTTACGGCCATCCCCATTCCAGTAAGGCAAACTATGAAGATTCTCTTCTAAGTTAACTTTATCAACAGATGAGCCAACACTCTCCCCCATTAAAACAATAAAAATGCAGGCTTCATTTGGGTCAGAAGTAACTTGAGCATTGTAGCCTAATGCTTGTTTCACTGTAATTTTTACAAATGCTTCCAAATCATTAGATGCAAGTCTGTATTGATCAACATCATAGTAATACACCGGAAAATTTGAAAGTAGAGAGCATCTTGAATAATCAAAGCAGTTGTGCATACGACATTGATAAATGCTCTGAGGGCTTGGTAAAGGTAGATGAATGTTGTCCTTATGAGTGGCAGTGATTCGCCGTGGGGCAACGATCTGTGGCATATTCTTTTCAAATACTTCACGCTGACTAAGAAGAGCCTGAAAAAAAATAAAATAAAATACTAAACATACTGAATGCTAAAATGCAACAGAGTGATAATTCTTATGCTTAATATTAGAATTAAAAACAGAAAATATTTTAGAAATACAGGAAAGGATTTTAAAGGATCCACTTCTACTGCTCTTACAAAAATCCGACAAAACTTCTGGTCGTTTTACTAGTACGAATTTCATTCTATCAACTGAGCAGAAGAAACCCCCATTAAACTATGAGAACTACCATATAAAGCATCAAGAATTCAGTAATTTGGCTAATTTTACACAAAATTCAATAAATTCTCATTTAAAAACACAGTCCAAAATAAAACACTGTAGACATTCCAGTCATTAAAACAACCTTTCCTCTCTTCATTTATCACATCCCAAGCCTCTCCACCATCACACAAAAAACTGTAGCTTTACCTTGATTCTTGGTTAATAAGGATAAGGGCATCACAATAATTGAAGCAGACCTAATAAAAACTCATAAAACAGGCCCCCCCCCCAAAAAAAAAAAAAAAAAAAAAATCAAATATTTCCACCACTTTGAGACCTATTTCAGGCCACTTCCTGTCTAAAAATGTGTATTACTTTCCAGTCATGCTAATAAGGCATAATATCTACAGGCATAGTATAGCATTTTGTCTGGATTTTTTGGGTTAACCTAGGTAATTTACACTATGTATAACTGTATTTATGTGCACCTGTGAGACAGAGACGGAGATAGACAGAGACAGACAAAAACAGAGATAGACAGAAATAGATAGACAGAGATAGACAGAGACAGACAGACAGAAGGAGATAGAGACAGCCAAAGCAAATCAGCCAGCCACCGGCCAGCCAGCTTGCCAAACATGTATTACACATGTTCCAGAATTGTTTCTCTTTACTTAGGACATATGTTATAGAACATTCTGGCAGGATGACTTTACCAGTGGTATCAAAATTTAAAGGATGTTACACATTGGTTATTGATATTTCCTTGGTATCTCCTGTGAGTGGCAGTGTATCTGAAACTTGCTGGTAACTCGGATTTTGACTTGCAACTCTAAGCAAATAATCAACCAAGCGACGGCTCATAACTTGGAAAACTCGTAAGTTGGGGCACTCGTAAGTCAAGGTACCACTGTATACGTAAGTGCCTCTGGCCTCATAAATGTATGTACAGTATATGGGAAACAGTTAAAGGGTTAACAGGTTTCCGTTTCACATTTGTGTGACTGTCTTGACATATAAGTGTGAAACAAAAACCTGTTAAATGTTTTGCACTCTAGCAGAATTGCTTGTCATTTTATTCTGCCTCATGAACAGGTAAATTGACAAGTAAATCTTACAAACATCTACTTACATTTAGAACACTCTTATCTTTACTTTCCTGTGAATTTCCTATAATAATAATAATAATAATAATAATAATATATCTTTATTTCTACAAGGTATACAGGCCTAGCTGACATCAATGACATACATGTACTACTATAACAACACTGCGCTAGCCAAGGATTTGAACCCATGTTGTACTGGCCTGCCTCATGGCAAGCGAGAACCACACGATGCTTTAAACCATAGGTGGCCCGGTGGCCTGGTGGCTAAAGCTCCCGCTTCACACATGGAGGGCCCGGGTTCGATTCCCGGCGGGTGGAAACATTTCGACACGTTTCCTTACACCTGTTGTCCTGTTCACCTAGCAGCAAATAGGTACCTGGGTGTTAGTCGACTGGTGTGGGTCGCATCCTGGGGGACAAGATTAAGGACCCCAATGGAAATAAGTTAGACAGTCCTCGATGACGCACTGACTTTCTTGGGTTATCCTGGGTGGCTAACCCTCTGGGGTTAAAAATCCAAACGAAATCTTATCTTATCTTATCTTATGACCACCCAACCCTACAAGAATGGCGCAGCCAGCACACAACTAGCTGTTGGGCCGCCATCCGAGGGAATACGGAGGTGTGGGAGCTTCTAAGCTAATTTCATTCTCATCCCTGTTTGGTATACTAGCCTCATGAGCAGTATTTATATATTATTGTAACCACGAACGAGTGGTATTGATCAATAACAACACTGCGCTAGCCAAGGATTCGAATCCTTGGCTAGCGCAGTGTTGTAATTGATCAATACCACTCGTTCGTGGTTACAATATTTTTTTTTTTTTTCAACAAGTCGGCCGTCTCCCACTGAGGCAGGGTGACCCAAAAAAGAAAGAAAATCCCCAAAAAGAAAATACTTTCATCATCATTCAACACTTTCACCACACTCGCACATTATCACTGTTTTTGCAGAGGTGCTCAGAATACAACAGTTTAGAAGCATACACATATAAAGATACACAACATATCCCTCCAAACTGCCAATATCCCAAACCCCTCCTTTAAAGTGCAGGCATTGTACTTCCCATTTCCAGGACTCAAGTCCGACTATATGAAAATAACCGGTTTCCCCGAATCCCTTCACTAAATATTACCCTGCTCACACTCCAACAGATCGTCAGGTCCCAAGTACCATTCGTCTCCATTCACTCCTATATAACACGCTCACGCACATGCTTGCTGGAAGTCCAAGCCCCTTGCCCACAAAACCTCCTTTACCCCCTCTCTCCAACCCTTTCGAGGACGACCCCTACCTCGCCTTCCTTCCCCTATAGATTTATATGCTTTCCATGTCATTCTACTTTGATCCATTCTCTCTAAATGACCAAACCACCTCAACAACCCCTCTTCTGCCCTCTGACTAATACTTTTATTAACTCCACACCTTTTCCTAATTTCCACACTCCGAATTTTCTGCATAATATTTACACCACACATTGCCCTTAAACAGGACATCTCCACTGCCTCCAACCGTCTCCTCGCTGCTGCATTTACCACCCAAGCTTCACACCCATATAAGAGTGTTGGTACTACTATACTTTCATACATTCCCTTCTTTGCCTCCATAGATAACGTTTTTTTGACTCCACATATACCTCAACGCACCACTCACCTTTTTTACCTCATCAATTCTATGATTAACCTCATCCTTCGTAAATCCATCCGCCGACACGTCAACTCCCAAGTATCTGAAAACATTCACTTCTTCCATACTCCTCCTCCCCAATTTGATATCCAATTTTTCTTTATCTAAATCATTTGATACCCTCATCACCTTACTCTTTTCTATGTTCACTTTCAACTTTCTACCTTTACACACATTCCCAAACTCATCTACTAACCTTTGCAATTTTTCTTTAGAATCTCCCATAAGCACAGTATCATCAGCAAAAAGTAACTGTGTCAATTCCCATTTTGAATTTGATTCCCCAAAATTTAATCCCACCCCTCTCCCGAACACCCTAGCATTTACTTCCTTTACAACCCCATCTATAAATATATTAAACAACCATGGTGACATTATACATCCCTGTCTAAGACCTACTTTTACCGGGAAGTAGTCTCCCTCTCTTCTACACACCCTAACCTGAGCCTCGCTATCCTCATAAAAACTCTTTACAGCATTTAATAACTTACCACCTATTCCATATACTTGCAACATCTGCCACATTGCTCCTCTATCCACTCTATCATATGCCATTTCTAAATCCATAAATGCAATAAAAACTTCCCTACCTTTATCTAAATACTGTTCACATATATGCTTCAATGTAAACACTTGATCTACACATCCCCTACCCACTCTGAAACCTCCTTGCTCATCCGCAATCCTACATTCTGTCTTACCTCTAATTCTTTCAATTATAACCCTACCGTACACTTTTCCTGGTATACTCAGTAAACTTATTCCTCTATAATTTTTACAGTCTCTTTTGTCCCCTTTCCCTTTATATAAAGGGACTATAGATGCTCTCCGCCAATCCCTAGGTACCTTCCCCTCTTTCATACATTTATTAAACAAAAGTACCAACCACTCCAACACTATATCCCCCCTGCTTTTAACATTTCTGTCATGATCCCATCAGTTCCAGCTGCTTTACCCCCTTTCATTCTACGTAATGCCTCACGTACCTCCCCCACACTTACATTCTGCTCTTCTTCACTCCTAAAAGAAGGTATACCTCCCTGACCAGTGCATGAAATTACTGCCTCTCTTTCTTCCTCAACATTTAAAAGTTCCTCAAAATATTCTCGGCATCTACTAATACCTCCCTCTCCCCATCTACTAACTCCCCTACTCTGTTTTTAACTGACAAATCCACTCGTTCCCTAGGCTTTCTTAACTTGTTTAACCCTTTCAGGGTCCGTCCCGTAGATCTACGGCTTTATGTTCAGGGTCCAAACCCTAGATCTACGTCATGAGCTCAGCTCACTCTGATAAACTGTGAGTGGTAAATTTGGGCCTAGATATGTGAGAATACATCTATGTGGTATGTGTGTGCCACATAAAACAAATCCTGCAGCACACTGTGCATAATGAGAGAAAAAACCGAGACCGTGATTTTCGATTAAAACAGCGACTTTGCAGCGTTTTTTCGTATTTTTTTATAGTTGTATTTGTGATTTCTTGGTCTCATTTGATAGAATGGAAGACATATTACAGAAGTAGAGATAATTTTGATTGGTTTTAGCACTGGAAATGGCTTGAAACTGAGCTCAAAGTGGCGGAAATGTTAAATTTTTGCCGATGTTCAAGAGTAAACAAACGACCTCACACGTCTAATACACGCCAGCTGGTGGGTCTAATATGCATTCACAAATATGGTGATGATATTTATACAATTATTACAATATTGCATAACAGTAAATCTTCTATTTTTTTTGTGTGAATAAAAATTCATTATGTGAATAAAAAATTAAAATGGAATTTATTTGTAAAGCCTCAAAACATAATTAATGAACAGAGGAAATGTTAGTTTAGTGCCAGGAATACCTACATTGTTTATTCTGGACCCCATTTTGAAATTGGAATATTTTGAACTTTGTGTTAAATTGGCCAAATTACCAATTTCCGGTCACTTTATTTTGTAGTTAACAGTTGACTTGGCAATTTCTTGTGCTCAATCGATAGAATAGAAGTAATGCTAGTGAAATTGCTAAGAATTTGGTCGACTGGAACAAGGTAATTGGCCTAAAATGGGAGTCAAAGTCGGCAAAATCGCCGATTCGTAAATATCGCTGACACATCAAAATTCACGAGAGCATAATTTCGTCAATTTTCCATCAAATTTCGTAATTTTTGTTTTATTACATTCACAAAAAGATTCTCTACCATTTCATAAGAAAAAATAACAATTTTTTTTTTTTTGAAAATTCTTGGACACTGGGGCACCACTTCAGATTTTGGCCTTGGACCCTGAAAGGGTTAACTCACTCCAAAATTTTTTCTTATTTTCATTAAAATTTCTTGACAGTGCCTCTCCCACTCTATCATCTGCTCTCCTTTTGCACTCTCTCACCACTCTCTTTACCTTTCTTTTACTCTCCATATACTCTGCTCTTCTTATAACACTTCTGCTTTGTAAAAACCTCTCATAAGCTACCTTTTTCTCTTTTATCACACCCTTTACTTCATCATTCCACCAATCACTCCTCTTTCCTCCTGCCCCCACCCTCCTATAACCACAAACTTCTGCCCCACAATCTAATACTGCATTTTTAAAACTATTCCAACCCTCTTCAACCCCCCCACTACTCATCTTTGCACTCGCCCACATTTCTGCCAATAGTCGCTTATATCTCACCCGAACTTCCTCCTCCCTTAGTTTATACACTTTCACCTCCCTCTTACTTGTTGTTGCCACCTTCCTCTTTTCCCACCTACCTCTTACTCTAACTGTAGCTACAACTAAATAATGATCCGATATATCAGTTGCCCCTCTATAAACATGTACATCCTGGAGCCGACCCATCAACCTTTTATCCACCAATACATAATTTAATAAACTACTTTCATTATGTGCTACATCATACGTTGTATATTTATTTATCCTCTTTTCATAAAATATGTATTACTTATTACCAAATCTCTTTCTACACATAGCTTGATTAAAGGCTCCCCATTTACATTTACCCCTGGCACCCCAAATTTACCTACTACTCCCTCCATAACATTTTTACCCACTTTAGCATTGAAATCCCCAACCACCATTACTCTCACACTTGATTCAAAACTCCCCACGCATTCACTCAACATTTCCCAAAATCTCTCTCTCTCCTCTACACTTCTTTCTTCTCCAGGTGCATACATGCTTACTATAACCCACTTTTCACATCCAATCTTTATTTTACTCCACATAATCCTTGAATTAATACATTTGTAGTCCCTCTTTTCCTGCCATAGCTTATCCTTCAACATTATTGCTACTCCTTCTTTAGCTCTAACTATATTTGAAACCCCTGACCTAATCCCATTTATTCCTCTCCACTGAAACTCTCCCACCCCCTTCAGCTTTGTTTCACTTAAAGCCAGGACATCCAGCTTCTTCTCATTCATAACATCCACAATCATCTCTTTCTTATCATTTGCACAACATCCACGCACATTCAGACTTCCCACTTTGACAATTTTCTTCTTCTTATTCTTTTAGTAATCTTTACAGGAAAAGGGGTTACTAGCCCATTGTTCCCGGCATTTTAGTTGACAATAATATATACTACTATATAGAGAGCCACTTGTTATGCAGAGCATTTCGGGCAAATTAGGTCAATTTTGTCTCAGGATACGACCCACACCAGTTGACTAACACCCAGGTACCCATTTTTACTGATGGGTGAACATGGACAACCAGTGTGAGGAAATGTGCCCAATGTTTCCACCCTTTGCAGGAATCGAACCCAGACCCTCATTGTGTGAAGCGAGAACTTTTGCTCCCAGGCCACAGACCACATGTAATTCTTTCAGCATTCCTATAACATTTCTTTTCCAATTTAAGAGTCCTGATCTGGCACTAAGCTACAGGTGTCAACCTTGGGACCATCAACATACATAACAGATTTTTGCAGTAGACAGTTCAGTGAATACACGATTTTGATAAGAACTGCAAGAAAAACTACTGCACCCTACAACAAAAAGTCCACTAATAAAAAATGGTAACATTAGGAAAGAAAGGACTGAAAATAATACACAGTACTTACCTGTTCAACACTAGTCTTGAGTCTTTCAAGCTCTGTTTTGATTCTATTCTCCTCCTGCCGCAGACTCTCTATTCGTGATGTGGCAGAGGCAATGTTTTCCTGTAGCTGCTGTCGATGCTGCTCCAAGTCTCGCAATTCATTAAGCACAGATGCTGCACAAGTCATTTACAAAATGTGAGATGAGAAAATTTACACACATCAAGTAAATGATACATTTTGAATTTATGTCTACACAAGCTTTTATCAACTAATTTATCCACAAAACTAAATTCCAGCACTCTAATGTTACTATGTGAACTGAAAGTACCATTATTCACCCCATATCAAACCATTTAAAAACAAAAATTCAGAAATCATCTAACTTTATGATGCATGCCATAATCTATGAAGGAAGAGCAAATATGCAATACGTATGTCAAGGTAGATTACTATTATTATGCATATGTAATGTTATGCATATGTAATGCAGTTAACTGTCATGCTTGATTACTATAATTATCTTCATGGAAAGTGCTAAAACTGCAAGGATAGTATACAGATGTGTGCTGGCAATTTCTTCACAACTGTTCCTGATTTCAGCTGAAGTTGTGGCATTAATCCATGAGAGTCAGTGTTGGAGGGGTCCTTGATTGGAATAACTTAACGTGTGACCATTGATTCATGAAGGCAATAAAAAATATTGGCTAAGGTCTTGTAGTCTTTGTCTGAGACCTGCCGATCCAGTGCAATGGATCAGATGCTCTAACTCTTACTCTTGGGGATTTTCTACATCATCAAAATCTTTTTTTTAACACATCAGCCATTTCCCATTGAGGCAGGGTGACCCAAAAAAGAAGAAACACTCTTATTATCACTCACTCCATCTCTGTCTTGCCAACAATCATCTTACCTGAATATCAACATCAAGCACCTTCATTTTTTATATTCTTTTCTTGCTTTCAGATTGCCTTATTCATTTTACTCTTGTTGTTCCTAGTATTCCCATCCTACCACCCTCTCATTTTTTTCTTTCATAACATTAATTTACCAGTGTGCAAAACCCAGGATCACAGGGAGCGCCTTTACAAGAGTGCTCCCTGTCATTGCATTTGCTTGGACCTCCTTTTTTTCTGCAACACTGCAAGCTCCTAATGTGTTGATTACAACACAAAAGGCCTAGAGCTATCATTCAACTCCCCTGTGGTTGTTTTGCACCTTGTATTGCTTGTTTACAATTTTTACCAGTATACTGACTATTAAATACTATTCGTTAAAAGTCACCACATGGTTCAGTGACTTTAAAATTTAACAAATGGTTTGAGTGAACTGCTATGAAATGGTTCCATCATGCCTCTGTTATAAAATGCTGAGAAGAGTGTGTATCAAAGCCTAATTTAGGAACAAGATAATGAATTTGCTAATCAACATTTGTTTGTCCATATGTAAAATTTCTACATTTTATCTGAAGGGCAACTTTAAAGAAGAAAATATTTATTTTATTTTATTATCACACCGGCCGATTCCCACCAAGGCAGGGTGGCCCGAAAAAGAAAAACTTTCACCATCATTCACTCCATCACTGTCTTGCCAGAAGGGTGCTTTACACTACAGTTTTTAAACTGCAACATTAACACCCCTCCTTCAGAGTGCAGGCACTGTACTTCCCATCTCCAGGACTCAAGTCCGGCCTGCCGGTTTCCCTGAATCCCTTCATAAATGTTACTTTGCTCACACTCCAACAGCACGTCAAGTATTAAAAACCATTTGTCTCCATTCACTCCTATCAAACACGCTCACGCATGCCTGCTGGAAGTCCAAGCCCCTCGCACACAAAACCTCCTTTACCCCCTCCCTCCAACCCTTCCTAGGCCGACCCCTACCCCGCCTTCCTTCCACTACAGACTGATACACTCTTGAAGTCATTCTGTTTCGCTCCATTCTCTCTACATGTCCGAACCACCTCAACAACCCTTCCTCAGCCCTCTGGACAACAGTTTTGGTAATCCCGCACCTCCTCCTAACTTCCAAACTACGAATTCTCTGCATTATATTCACACCACACATTGCCCTCAGACATGACATCTCCACTGCCTCCAGCCTTCTCCTCGCTGCAACATTCATCACCCACGCTTCACACCCATATAAGAGCGTTGGTAAAACTATACTCTCATACATTCCCCTCTTTGCCTCCAAGGACAAAGTTCTTTGTCTCCACAGACTCCTAAGTGCACCACTCACTCTTTTTCCCTCATCAATTCTATGATTCACCTCATCTTTCATAGACCCATCTGCTGACACGTCCACTCCCAAATATCTGAATACGTTCACCTCCTCCATACTCTCTCCCTCCAATCTGATATTCAATCTTTCATCACCTAATCTTTTTGTTATCCTCATAACCTTACTCTTTCCTGTATTCACCTTTAATTTTCTTCTTTTGCACACCCTACCAAATTCATCCACCAATCTCTGCAACTTCTCTTCAGAATCTCCCAAGAGCACAGTGTCATCAGCAAAGAGCAGCTGTGACAACTCCCACTTTGTGTGTGATTCTTTATCTTTTAACTCCACGCCTCTTGCCAAGACCCTCGCATTTACTTCTCTTACAACCCCATCTATAAATATATTAAACAACCACGGTGACATCACACATCCTTGTCTAAGGCCTACTTTTACTGGGAAAAAATTTCCCTCTTTCCTACATACTCTAACTTGAGCCTCACTATCCTCGTAAAAACTCTTCACTGCTTTCAGTAACCTACCTCCTACACCATACACTTGCAACATCTGCCACATTGCCCCCCTATCCACCCTATCATACGCCTTTTCCAAATCCATAAATGCCACAAAGACCTCTTTAGCCTTATCTAAATACTGTTCACTTATATGTTTCACTGTAAACACCTGGTCCACACACCCCCTACCTTTCCTAAAGCCTCCTTGTTCATCTGCTATCCTATTCTCCGTCTTACTCTTAATTCTTTCAATTATAACTCTACCATACACTTTACCAGGTACACTCAACAGACTTATCCCCCTATAATTTTTGCACTCTCTTTTATCCCCTTTGCCTTTATACAAAGGAACTATGCATGCTCTCTGCCAATCCCTAGGTACCTTACCTTCTTCCATACATTTATTAAATAATTGCACCAACCACTCCAAAACTATATCCCCACCTGCTTTTAACATTTCTATCTTTATCCCATCAATCCCGGCTGCCTTACCCCCTTTCATTTTACCTACTGCCTCACGAACTTCCCCCACACTCACAACTGGCTCTTCCTCACTCCTACAAGATGTTATTCCTCCTTGCCCTATACACGAAATCACAGCTTCCCTATCTTCATCAACATTTAACAATTCCTCAAAATATTCCTTCCATCTTCCCAATACCTCTAACTCTCCATTTAATAACTCTCCTCTCCTATTTTTAACTGACAAATCCATTTGTTCTCTAGGCTTTCTTAACTTGTTAATCTCACTCCAAAACTTTTCTTATTTTCAACAAAATTTGTTGATAACATCTCACCCACTCTCTCATTTGCTCTCTTTTTACATTGCTTCACCACTCTCTTAACTTCTCTCTTTTTCTCCATATACTCTTCCCTCCTTGCATCACTTCTACTTTGTAAAAACTTCTCATATGCTAACTTTTTCTCCCTTACTACTCTCTTTACATCATCATTCCACCAATCGCTCCTCTTCCCTCCTGCACCCACTTTCCTGTAACCACAAACTTCTGCTGAACACTCTAACACTACATTTTTAAACCTACCCCATACCTCTTCGACCCCATTGCCTATGCTCTCATTAGCCCATCTATCCTCCAATAGCTGTTTATATCTTACCCTAACTGCCTCCTCTTTTAGTTTATAAACCTTCACCTCTCTCTTCCCTGATGCTTCTATTCTCTTGTATCCCATCTACCTTTTACTCTCAGTGTAGCTACAACTGAAAGTGATCTGATATATCTGTGGCCCTCTATAAACATGTACATCCTGAAGTCTACTCAACAGTCTTTTATCTACCAATACATAATCCAACAAACTACTGTCATTTCGCCTACATCATATCGTGTATACTTATTTATCCTCTTTTTCTTAAAATATGTATTACCTATAACTAAACCCTTTCTATACAAAGTTCAATCAAAGGGCTCCCATTATCATTTACACCTGGCACCCCAAACTTACCTACCACACCCTCTCTAAAAGTTTCTCCTACTTTAGCATTCAAGTCCCCTACCACAATTACTCTCTCACTTGGTTCAAAGGCTCCTATACATTCACTTAACATCTCCCAAAATCTCTCTCTCTCCTCTGCATTCCTCTCTTCTCCAGGTGCATACACGCTTATTATGACCCACTTCTCGCATCCAACCTTTACTTTAATCCACATAATTCTTGAATTTACACATTCATATTCTCTTTTCTCCTTCCATAACTGATCATTTAACATTACTGCTACCCCTTCCTTTGCTCTAACTCTCTCAGATACTCCAGATTTAATCCCATTTATTTCCCCCCACTGAAACTCTCCTACCCCCTTCAGCTTTGTTTCGCTTAGGGCCAGGACATCCAACTCTTTTCATTCATAACATCAGCAATCATCTGTTTCTTGTCATCCGCACTACATCCACGCACATTTAAGCAACCCAGTTTTATAAAGTTTTTCTTCTTCTCTTTTTTAGTAATTGTATACAGGAGAAGGGGTTACTAGCCCATTGCTCCCGGCATTTTAGTCGCCTCATACGACACGCATGGCTTACGGAGGAAAGATTCTTTTCCACTTCCCCATGGACAATAGAAGAAATAAAAAAGAACAAGAGCTATTTAGAAAAAGGAGAAAAACCTAGATGTATGTATATATATATATGCATGTGCGTGTCTGTGAAGTGTGACCAAAGTGTAAGTAGGAGTAGCAAGATATCCCTGTTATCTTAGCGTGTTTATGAGACAGAAAAAGAAAATATTGATGCCATGAAACAAACTGCAATTAATGATTCAAAATTCTTTATGAATATTAATTGTAAATACTATACCATATTCATTTAAGCCAACCTTTAATAGAAAGCAGCTCCTGAACTCTAGCCTTGGCATTATCGCATTTAAGACCTGACAAGTCAGCCAGAGGGTCACTGGGGTCCAATAAAAGATGTCGCTCATGACCCAAGGATGAGTCACTCACAGCCTGAAGCAACAATAAATACTTAATGGCAATGTGTTCGAAGAAATTAATTGATAAAAACAAGATCAACAATAGGTTTACTTTTGCTATACATATTGCTATTTCCCTTTCAGCATCGTATTCTCTATACAAATTTGTTTCATTCTTTAAAAAAAGCTGATTTCTCAGAAAAAAAATTATTAAAAAGTTCTCTATATATTTTCCCAACTCAGCCACATTTCACAAACTTAAAAAAATTTCTTAAGCTTCCTAGCACAGTAAAATACAGAACAATACTGCAAGTAGAATACTTAGAGAGGTAACCACTGATATGCTGAAGATAGTAAAACAAGTGAAATATATCACAAATACTAAAAGAAAAAAAATCTAATTTACCACAAGATATTTTGCTAATGTACCACCCTGAACCCCTCAAGGAAGGTTCCTTGATGTTGGTGAGGGGCTCTTGATTTAGGGAATTGGATCTGTGCTCCAGTTCCCCGAATTAAGCCTGAATGCCTTCCACATCCCCCCCCCCAGGCGCTGTATAATTTTCCGGGTTTAGCGCTTCCCCCTTGATTATAATAATAATAATAACCACCCTGAAGATTTTGTTAGCATAGCCCTAGAGGAACTAATTTTTTAATATACTGGCCATTTCTTACCAAGGCAGGATGCCTACAAAGAAGAAAAACACTCATCATTATTCATTTCCTAATTCTTTCCAGAAAACCGCAGAGGAAGTAAGTGATGGTAAACGTGTTGTCCTTCCTAAGGTTATCCTGTATTTGTAGGAAATGGCTAATGTTAAAAAACAAAAAAAGTTCTGCTTGAGTTTCCAAGGCCCTCAGGGGGTAAGGATATGCCAGATTTTCAACCACACCAGATTATCTCATTTTCTCATGGTCCCTTATTTTTGCACACTTTTTTTTTAATATTATTTGTTCAAATATCAGATTGAATAAAACTGCTGCGTAATGTTAAACAACCCATAACAACTGACTGCTTCATAATCGATGATATGCATTTCTTATCAACTCACCTTAATGTAGCCTGAAAAAAGCTCAAGACAATCTGCCTACCAACTGACCATCTGGGTCACAATTCAGATAACTTGACACTGGCATATGGGCAGAAAATACATTAATACTTAACCAGTTTTACTTGCTTAGTTTCCAACCAACTGAGTCGTTTTGCATCCAAGGAGAGCTCTGGCCCTCAGCAAGATTAGAAAACTTATCTCATACCATCTTGAACTATGGGAATGCTAAAATATTAGCGGGTTATTGGTTACATTTCACTCCAGTGTCACACAAGTGGGACAGTCCATCAAGACAGTTTCATTCTTTAGTGGAGCATTAGGAAACTTCAGTTGTTGCCTGATTTGCTACTTTGTCAGTCAAACCATCATCCACTTCATCCCCATTTTTTAGCTCATTAGCAGTAGAATACATCAATGTAATCGAAATGTGGAAAAATCATTGTTCATTAATATTATTATTGCAGTATTCTGTATTTAATAGGAAGCTCTAAATGCCTGGAAGATGGGTGGCAGTCATATTTGATCCAAAGAAGTGAAGGACTGGTCCAATTCCTAAGATCCAAAGCCCTAACTGGCATCAAGAAACCTCCCTCAAGGGGATAATTTTTCATAAGCATTATCAAGCAAGCACAAAGCAATTATGACTTCACATACAGGTGTAACAAAATGCTTGGAATAAACATTAACTACTGTATAATCATACAGAGATAGTAAGTTGATTTATGCACAGGTACACAAGTACAATTATCATACATAGTGTAAATTATTTAGGATAACCCAAAAAAGTCAAAGTGACTTAGTTCCATTGGGGTCCTTGTAATATCTTATTATTTAAACCTTAAAGTTAAAACAGCTTGGGTGCAGACAGCAGTAACAGCCTGGCTGATCAGACCCTGATCCACCATGAGGCCTGGTCTCAGACTGGGTTGTGGGGGTGTTGACCCCCGAAACCCTCTGCAGGTAAACTCCAGGTAAGTAACTCAAATGTGTGAAAATCAGTTACAATAAAAGGAGAGATAATAGGAATAAGGTAAATTGGGTTATTTACAGTAACATTAAATAGAGGATAACCTGAACACTAGCTATTTTTCAGGAGTGCTGTCTTCAATACAATTTGAAAGAGCTAGCTTGAAATCCCCTTTAAAAAATTTAACCACTTTTATAATAAAAAAAATGCAGAACTAAGTACTAAACTTGGTTTATTATTAATATCAGATAAAGCCATAAAAGGAATATAAACCGTGAACATACCTTTGAGAGATAATAGTGCGCACAAAGAGGCACAATTATCAATATTAAAAGAATAGCAGGGACAACTCTAGACGGCCGGAGCAGCCAACCCCCGGGCATGCTCCCTTGTCCCACTCCAACTCCAGTGTTCAGCCGTCCGTATGAATTAGTTCGCATTGTTTCTTACTTTCAGGGTTTCTTTGGCAATTTTTTTTTGATGCACAAGTTTGATTAACATACAGAATCCATAATCCTTATTCTATCAGATATATGACAAAGGAGTAGAGAGACTCATTTCCTTAAGAATTTTTTGTACTGGCTTTTTGCTTTCAGTCTGTGATAAAAAAAATGTAAGTAAAAATGCATTGTTTATAGCCATTAACACATTAAAAGCTTGTCGAATGCAAATTATAAATGCACTTTAAAGCCATGAATATAGCAGAGAAGTCTTCTCTCAGAATTGTACATTTTTTAACAAGCACCAAATTAACTTGACTTGTCTAGTTATATCTTGGGTCATATTCATCCCGGCACATATCTGTGGGAAGAAAGTGGAAGGTAAAATCAATATAATAAAAATTAAAATGAAAAGAATTGCAGCAGTGACTTGACTTCATAACCTTGCTTACCTATGTAATTTCAAAACATATCTAAAAAAAATTCAGTATCTGACAGTAAAATCAACAATATCACAATACAGACAAATGCACAGCTACTAAAATCTCTATAATATTTATTACTATGTTTTTTTCAATATACCAGCTGTCTCTCAAAAAGGAGTTATGTATATAAGTGCAGTCAGGCCCTGCTTTACAGTGCTTCACTAATGCAGTGGTTTTCAATTATACCCATTTCTCATTTATTCAGACTTCCTACAATAAATCTACATATTCACCACTCACTATAAGCTAAGGACAAAAATATTTTAAGGTAAGATAAGATAAGATAAGATTTCGTTCGGATTTTTAACCCCGGAGGGTTAGCCACCCAGGATAACCCAAGAAAGTCAGTGCGTCATCGAGGACTGTCTAACTTATTTCCATTGGGGTCCTTAATCTTGTCCCCCAGGATGCGACCCACACCAGTCGACTAACACCCAGGTACCTATTTGCTGCTAGGTGAACAGGACAACAGGTGTAAGGAAACGTGTCGAAATGTTTCCACCTGCCGGGAATCGAACCCGGGCCCTCCGTGTGTGAAGCGGGAGGTTTAGCCACCAGGCCACCGGGCCACTGTATATGTATTTTTTTTAGGCCTAACTTTACTGCTCACTTAATACACCTACCATCTGACTTTTGACCTGCTCGACATACTGCCACTCGACTTACGACCACGTTTTTTATGCCAAATTTCTGGGAAATAAACAACTGTTTGTGTTGTACACAGTGTTTATCCTAAACCTTATGGTATAAAATACAGTACTAACAGCATAAAAAGTAAAGGAAAAAATGAAATACCAGAATAAAACAATAAAATAAAATCATTACAAGTGTGATGTTGATATTCAGTAGTAAGGTTCAACTTACGTCCATTTTGACTTACGACTGGTTGGTCGGAACCAAGCTTGGTCGTAAATCGGATGGTACCTGTATATGATAGTATAAACATGTTAACAGGCTTTTATCTGAATTTGATAGTGGAAAAAAGGCAGTGTTTCACTTAAAATTGATTTTCGCTGTACGTACCATAGTAGAGGTATAAGCTGGGACCTCTTGTACGTATTATTTTTTTTTTCAACAATACAGCCATATCCCGCTGAGGGAGGGTGACTTAATAAGAAAAACACAAGTTTTTCTTTTTAATTATTATTATTATAATCAAAAGAAGCGCTAAGCCACAAGGGCTATACAGCTTTTTTTTTTTTTTTAAATTTAGTAATTTATACAGAAAGGGATTATTAGTCTCTTGCTCCCAGCATTTTAGTCATCTCTCAAAACACGCATGGCTTATGGAGGAAGGAATCTATTTTTATTTTTATATTATATTCATGAGGAAACACTAAACTAATCCAGTTCATTCAGCACATGGGGAATGGGATGGAATAGGGCACCTTCTGCCAGTGAAAGCTTCTTGATCTAAAGAATTGAAAATAACCTCCCCTCCCTTTTCCTGGATCAAACATGATTACCTTCCATTCTCCAGGTGCTATATGACTACAGGTTTAATGCTCCTTTATGAATATAATAATAATAATAATATTAATAAGCTTCATGGTACCTCTGTTGAAGGAACAGAGCCTATTTAAGAGAATAACTTAAATAGGAGGGGTGGGGCTGTTGCAATTCAGAAGGTCACCTGACCTGTACGTCAGTATACTTCAGGTAAGACAGCCACTGAATGAATGACAGTGAAAGTGTTTCTTCTTTTTCAGGTCACCCTTCCTTGGTGGGAGATGGCTGATTTGTTAAATTTATAGCATTGTGTGTCAGCATGTCCATATTTGAACCACACTCAGGGTAGTGATTTACTACAAAATGGATATCCTGAGGGATACAATTTCAAGACAATTCTTTTCATATCCTCTGGTAGCCTACTATACTGCTGAGTGCACAGGCATAGCAAGCAGGTTTGAAAACCAATAAAAGTATTTTTAATTTTAAACTGTTTGTCATGATGAACTACAACTGCATTGTGACTTGGCAGAAAAGGATGAATAATTTACCATAATTTATGCAGGCTTAATTAAAGTCTAACATGAGGTAATTTACATCAACCAAACATTCTAGGTGTTATGTGCCAAATTTATATTAGTATAAAATACAAGATGAATCAGAACAAATGAGGAAAATAAAAAAAGGCAGAGTGTTGAGGCAATCATGAAAAGAAAGTTTATGTACTACAGTGTATATGGATGCAAAATAGGGAAGGTACTTCAGTATACCAAAGTTTTGAACTTCATGCAGTGTGCTTTAAGTGTCTGAGATTATAACAATGATGAGGTAGACATGGTAGTAATGTAGATAATGGAAGTGAGAAGAGTATATTGCTCTGCCATAAAGATTATTGCTGCCTGTAATATTTCACTCTTAGAATGAATTTCATATAGTTTGCAAGAATATTGTGACAGAATATTTATGGACATTGTACATTTATAGGATGGGGACACTAAACCAATGGGGGTTAAACAGCACATGGAAAATGGGAAGCAATCAGTTTCAAGTAAAAATAAGTTCAATTCCTTGCATCAGAAACCAATCACTGGCATCAGGATACCACCCTAGAGGGGAGCATTTATGAAAAGTTCTAAACTTATAAAGGTCACTTAGTGTTGCACTGCAGAGGTAAAAGTGACAGCAAAGAGAAAGAGGTGGCAGTGTTGAGGGGAGAATATTGGAAGAAAGGATGGGGTGTTTACAGTTGATGCAGCAAATCAGTGTCTGTTAAGAAATCAATGCTAAGAAATCAAATGTGGGATTGTCAGAAAAAGAGTGGATGAAGCAAATGCAAGCACACTGAAGAAGGTATCTAAAATAAAGTTGGCATGCTCTCTGATGAATGAGACAAATGACCAAAAGATATTGGATTGTCAAGCCTTTATAGTTCTCAGATTATCATACATACTCAAATAATAAAGCACTAAAACGACAAGGGTCATGCAGCGCTGCGGGGCAGAAAGTAGTGCCAGGGCTGTAAACAGCTAGGTGGAGAGAGGATCAGAGGTAAGGGTAGAAAAGGGCTGAAAGGGATGCTAGGGGCTATGCGTCAAAGTTTGAATAGTAAGGCAGTTGCTAACAAAGAGTAAAAAAGTGATCGTAAATCAAAGGCAGGGCCGTCTTCAAGAAGGGAAGATGAGGTAAGATTGGTAGGGTAGTGGCATCGGAGGTAAATCCTGCGAGCTCGCTGGTAAACCAGACAATCCACAAGAAATTGAAGAACTGAAATAGGGACCAACAAACCTCACGAAGAGGAATAAGGTGTTGTTCCATGAGACACCCATGGTAAGGTGAGTATGGCTGATGCAGAGATGGGAGAGCACAATCTCCCAGGAACGGCAACGGTGGTAAGAATATGGCCACAAACCTAAAAGCGGTTTAATAGAGTGCAATATCTTTTGGTGCATGTTTGACCACGTTCCTGCCAATGGCTGCGAAGACAGGCAGAGATGACTGTAAAATGATCCCTGAACATAATACCTCTATCGGAAACCGGAAAGTCACATACTGCTGACTGCACAGCAGCATTCTCCTGTTCATTGCCCTGCATATCGATGTGTCCAGGGACCCAACAGAAAATGACGTCTTTGTTTTTGCTAGCCACACAGCACAACCAAAGTTGAATATGAAGGACAAATGGATGAGGGGAAACAAATTGTTTAATGGCCTGTAAAGTGCTGAGGGGATCTGAAATGATCACAAATGCTGAAGGAGACATAGAGTATGTGCAATACGGAGAAGCACTATGAGGATGGCATACAACTCGGCAGTAAAAATACTAGCTGAGTCTAACAAATGACCTCAGACATCATCATCAGGGAACACTACCACCCAACACCGTCAGAAGATTTAGAACCATCTGTATAAACAGTAACGGCATGCGCATGCAACTGGAAGTGATCAAGAAAAAGAGAGCGAGAAGCAGCCGTAGGTAGGAGAGCTTTGGCTCACGGTAGTAAGGGAGAACAGACATGAACTGTTGAAACCTCTCAAAGTTTTGACAGTTCCTGTCTGTGATAGGAACATTATCAATGGAAGTATGATGGGAAAGATCATGAGCTTGCTTTGCATCCTGAACTGTAATGATGCACGCACCGCTTCGAAGAGCATGAAAGGATGTATTTTGGACATGTCGTAAAAGAGCTTTATCAATACTACGGTCTGAAAGACAATCAGTTAGAGATGTCGGGTGTAGAAAAAAGAATTTAGTCCACTGCGTACTTGTAAATATGGTGCGTAAAGGAAGTGGGTGTAGCATAGGTTGTTTCTGGGTGGAATGAGCAGACATCAAAGAACCGTTGTCAGCAAATGGTCTGGAGCTTTTAGGCATAGTTCTGTGGGTGGCCTGAAGTAGGTGATCCGAAAACTGTTGCACTGTATTAGGGGAAGCCGGATACATAGTTAAAGGCGTGCAAGAGGCAGAGGCACCAGATGAAACAGGCGGAGCCTCAGCACCTGCAGCAGGTGACGAAGCATCACCAGCAGAAGGTACAGGGTTATGGGAAAAGTCTGGAGAATGGTCCAGTAATGAAGCTGGGGCAGAACAGGATACAATAACAAAAAGGGGTCTGTGAGGAGGGTTATCATGGAATGAAGACTCCATGAAGGTGGTACTTCTTTATTATTATTTTAATCCTTAAATGGTCCAAACGTATATATACGTTCACTTGCGTAGCGCCCCAAATTTTTTGAGGAAAAAAAATCTTTTCTTTTAAAAGGAAAAAAGAGCATATGGCACCCAGGCATCCCCAATTATTTTAATATGGAACACAGTGAGTGCACACACCCATTCTCTCATGTCTAGGTGACTCAAGCTTATTGTGGCAATGTTGAATGACAATTGAATGACAAAGAAAACGTATATATACATTTGGGGCGCTACGCGCGTGAACGTATATATACGTTTGGACCGTTTAAGGGTTAAAGAAAAAAAGAAAAATGGAAAGGAAAAAAAAAAGAGGGACAGTCACTAGAAGGCATGAAAGGGCCGTAAGTTCCCTTTCTCATCCGAGAGGACCTCAAGACCACTAGCAATGCAGATGCAGCGTGGAACCCATGCCATACCCTACCCTTCACGTCAATAAACCAATGCTCCAGGATAGCAACCTCACCTCTACCGAGCCACCTTGGCGGACAAAAGAGAGGGCAGTCGGAATCCCGCCACAAAGCATACCTCCTTCGGCTGCCACCTCCCAGAACCAACAAACAGCTTCTGGAGATACATCCGTCACCTGCAGGACACCCTGTCCCACCTCTTGGAAATCTGGGAAGGGAGCAGGGTGCCTCCAGATAATCCAGATTCCACTGCAAACTACACCACACCCGAGGAACTCCATGAAGTGGGATGAACCCCAGCACACTTCCCCTTACCTAGAAACCGTAATTCCAGAGGGGAGGACCCCAGAGGCTACAAACGGGATGGGGAAAAGGGAGGGCTGGGAGGAGGGAGGAAATGGGAAAAAAGGGGGGAATGGGAAGGATGGGATAGGGAAGGGAGGATTGGGGGTAATTAGGTTCGGTCTGAGGAAGGAGACCAAAGGGTCTAATTCCTCAGACCAAGAGCCTCTTCACCACATCAAGAAGTATTATTTTTATTATTATAATCAAAAAGAAGCGCTAAGCCACAAGGGCTAACCACATCAAGAAGCCCCCCTTGAAAAGGTATAGTTCTCAGAGTGCCAAATATCTCTCTATGAAGTGACCAAGCATGAGTCTAGTTTGTGCACTGTACAATCATGCAATTACTGTAACGTTTTCTATTATTTTTATTTTCATGGGGAAGTGATAAACCCATAGGGGTCATACAACACCTGAGGGATGGAAGACAATCAGGTTTCAGTTAAAGAACGGAGAGTAGCTTTGATTACTTGGATCAAGATCCCTTCATCAGCATCAAGGCACTTGGCTGGAAGGGCAGCAAACTGATAATTGTCCGGGATAATCCAAAAAGTTCCCTAGCATTAATTTCGAATTGGAAAATTAGTTACTCAAAACTGCATCCAGGTTAGCACACTAAGGAGAGCCGGAACTGATGTCTTTTCCTACCACCTTCATCAACATTTCGAGCCACATCGTGGTGTGCATCCTGATTCTAGTGTCTACAGTGTGGTTGATAGTGGTGGATGAGACCAGGATGGAGGGTGTACTACAAGTGGAAAGTTTGGACTCACTCATCAACTTGTACCTCGACTCTGTTTACATTTTAACCACATAGGTCTGCCGCCCCTGTCCCAACACTTGCTACCAGATGTGGCTTCGACCATTTAGCAAGCAAATTCTCAACACAAATGCATAAAAGAGAGACAACCCTAATAAAACTGCATTTATGTATATACTTCAGGTAATCATAATGGATTAAAATTCCAGCTAATTGAGTGTAAGGAAGTATTTCTGGGAGGGAAGGAAGTGGGTGAAGAATGGGAGGAGTTATTGGGAGATTGTGGTGGTGGGCAACAGATGGCAGCAGGAGCCGCGGGTCGTCTGCTGCTGAGACGTACATCCTATTTTTGACGCCCAACTCCACATTAATGTAAGCATTTCCCACCTTATATTTCCTCCCCAGGCATCCGAATATCTTCGAAAACGCTTGCAACTCACCACAGAGTGCGTGGTAAGGTGGCAGGGGGGCAAAGGATACCCTAAGAGGAGTGTGTTATGATAGAATGCCCCCAACATGTCCCCCTCTTCCCCAAAATTCCCCCAATATGTCCCCTTGTCCCTCCCTCTCCCCTCACTGCGGCCACAACCCAGGCACCTTACTAGTGTCAGGTGACACCCCAGGTCAGGGGACTGCACTACCACACTGTCTACTACCTTACCTACTCCGCCTAGCTCAGGTACTAGAAAAATTAGTCAGCCAGGTCTGCTCCTCGGTTCTTGTCAGGTGTTTGGGGCTTCGTTTATTTTTTTTTTCTTAATTTCGGCTCAGGTGTTTATCACTTCTTTTTGTTTTTCATTTATTGTCAGGTGTTCTGAACATGATTCTTTCGTTGTATCAGTTCTTATCAAAAGTTTTGAATTCTTGTTTTCAGTTCATCAGGTGTTTTGAATTTGTTCATTTTTTTTCAGTTCCAGTCAGACAAATATCCATTTGTAATTACCTGTTTGAAATTGCTTATTTGTAGCTACAACAGCAGAGCTATGCTGTGTTTTCAGTAATATGTTCTTCATGAAATTGGCTTTAGTTTACAACTACTACTTGGCAAAACTCTGGCATTAGTTTACATTCTACAGTACATGCAACCTTTTTACACTACAGAATAGGTAAGCGTTTCTTGTGGATATTTTTATTTGGGAGATATTAGTACAAAAATAATACATTTGTTTTGGTTGCACAGTGTCTGCAATAAAGCACCTAAATTAGTGGGAATGCTTGAAGTTCCTCAACCTGTACTCCCTAGAATGCAGGCAGGAGAGATGCATGATTATATACACTAGGAAAATTCTAGAGGGATTAGTACCAAACTTGCACACGAAAATCACTCCCTATGAAAGCAAGAGACTCGGCAGACACTGCAACATCCCCGCAGTAAAAGCAGGGTTGCCACTAGCACAATAAGAGACAACACAATAAGTGCCAGGGGACCCAAGACTGTTAAACTGCCTCCCAGCATACGTAAAGGGGATTACCAATAGACCCTTGGCTCTCTCCAAGAAGGCACTGGACAGGCACCTGGGGTCGGTACATGACCAGCCAGGCTGTGGTTCATACGTTGGGTTGCGTGCAGTAACCTCCTGGTTGATCAGGTCCTGATCCACCATGAGGCCTGGTCACAGACTGGGCCATGGGGGCATTGACCCCTGAAACCCTCTCCAGGTATACTCCAGTCAGTGCTTAGTATCGACTCTTGTCACATGCCTGGCTGAATGTAAACACAGATAGGCCAGCACCAATGTGAGACTAAGGTTAAAAATTAGGTTATTTAATCTTAAATTGCCACAGGGGCATTTTTGAAAAAATTAAAAAAATATTTTTCTTGCCAAAAAATTCTCCCCGATTTTAGAAATGTAATAAAATGAGAATGAGGAAATCTTATTGTTACATAGAGATAGGAAGGTAATGTTAGCACTTGTTTTATAGTGGCATGAGTGCTTGCTGCATGGAAGCAATTTCCATGTTTAAAAAAAAAAATATTGAATTTTTCCAGTTTTCCTAATTTTTATTATGGATCATATGTTTTACACCTTTGGTCACACTTCACAGACACGCACATGCATATATATATACATACATCTAGGTTTTTCTCTTTTTTCTAAATAGCTCTTGTTCTTCTTTATTTCTTCTATTGTCCATGGGGAAGTGGAAAAGAATCTTTCCTCCGTAAGCCATGCGTGTCGTATGAGGTGACTAAAATGCCGGGAGCAATGGGCTAGTAACCCCTTCTCCTGTAGACATTTACTAAAAAAGAGAAGAAGAAAAACTTTATAAAACTGGGACGCTTGAATGTGCGTGGATGTAGTGCAGATGACAAGAAACAGATGATTGCTGATGTTATGAATGAAAGAAGTTGGATGTCCTGGCCCTAAGCGAAACAAAGCTGAAGGGGGGGAGGGGAGTTTTGGTGGGGAAATAAATGGGATTAAATCTGGAGTATCTGAGAGAGGTAGAGCAAAGGAAGGGGTACAGTAATGTTGAAGGATCAGTTATGGAAGGAGAAAAGAGAATATGAAAAGTGTAAATTCAAGAATTATGTGGATTAAAGTAAAGGTTTGGGTGCGAGAAGTGGGTCATAATAAGCGTGTATGCACCTGGAGAAAAGAGGAATGCAGAGGAGAGAGAGAGATTTTGGGAGATGTTAAGTGAATGTATGGGAGCCTTTGAACCAAGTGAGAGAGTAATTGTGGGGGGGACCTGAATGCTAAAGTAGGAGAAACTTTTAGAGAGGGGTGTGGTAGGTAATTTGGGGTGCCAGGTGTAAATGATAATGGGGCCCTTTGATTGAACTTTGTATAGAAAAGGGTTTAGTTATAGGTAATACATATTTTAAGAAAAAAGGGGGATAAATAAAATATACAAGATATGATGTAGGGCAAAATGACAGTAGTTTGTTTGGGTTATGTATTGGTAGATAAAAAACTGTTGAGTAGACTTCAGGATGTACATGTTTATAGAGGGGCCACAGATATAGCAGATCACTTACTAGTTGTAGCTACACTGAGAGTTAAAAGGTAGATGGGATACAAGGGAAAAAGAAGCATCAGGGAAGAGAGAGGTGAAGGTTTATAAACTAAAAGAGGAGGCATTAGGGTAAGTATAAACAGCTATTGGGGGATAGATAGGCAAATGATAAACATAGGCAATGGGGTCGAAGAGGTATGGGGGAGGTTTAAAAATGCAGTGTTAGAGGGGTTCAGCAGAAGTTGTGGTTACGGAAAGTGGGTGCAGTAGGGAAGAGGAGCAATTGGTGGAATGATGATGTAAAGAGAGTAGTAAGGGGGAAAAAGTTAGCATATGAGAAGTTTTTACAAAATAGAAGTGATGCAAGGAGGGAAGAGTATATGGAGAAAAAGAGAGAGGTTTAAAAGAGTGGTGAAGCAATGTAAAAAGAGAGCAAATGAGAGAGTGGGTGAGATGTTATCAACAAATTTTGTTGAAAAAAGAAAAAGTTTTGGAGTGAGATTAACAAGTTAAGGAAGCTTAGAGAACAAATGGATTTGTCAGTAAAAATAGGAGAGGAGAGTTATTAAATGGAGAGTTAGAGGTATTGGGAAGATGGAGGGAATATTTTGAGGAATTGTTTAAATGTCGATGAAGATAGGGAAGCTGTGATTTCGTGTATAGGGCAAGGAGGAATAACATCTTGTAGGAGTGAGGAAGAGCCAGTTGTGAGTGTGGGGGAAGTTTGTGAGGCAGTAGGTAAAATGAAAGGGGGTAAGGCAGCCGGGATTGATGGGATAAAGATAGAAATGTTAAAAGCAGGTGGGGATATAGTTTTGGAGTGGTTGGTGCAATTATTTAATAGATGTATGGAAGAGGGTAAGGTACCTAAAGGCAAAGGGAACAAAAGAGAGTGCAAAAATTATAGGGGGATAAGTCTGTTGAGTATACCTGGTAAAGTGTATGGTAGAGTTATTATTGAAAGAATTAAGAGTAAGACGGAGAATAGGATAGCAGATGAACAAGGAGGCTTTAGGAAGGGTAAGGGGTGTGTGGACCAGGTGTTTACAGTGAAACATATAAGTGAACAGTATTTAGATAAGGCTAAAGAGGTCTTTGTGGCATTTATGGATTTGGAAAAGGCGTATGACAGGGTGGATAGGGGGCAATGTGGCAGATGTTGCAGGTGTATGGTGTAGGAGGTAGGTTACTGAAAGCAGTGAAGAGTTTTTACGAGGATAGTGAGGCTCAAGTTAGAGTATGTAGGAAAGAGGGAAATAATTTCCCAGTAAAAGTAGGCCTTAGACAAGGATGTGTGATGTCACCGTGGTTGTTTAATATATTTATAGATGGGGTTGTAAGAGAAGTAAATGCGAGGGTCTTGGCAAGAGGCGTGGAGTTAAAAGATAAAGAATCACATATAAAGTGGGAGTTGTCACAGTTGCTCTTTGCTGATGACACTGTGCTCTTGGAAGATTCTGAAGAGAAGTTGCAGAGATTGGTGGATGAATTTGGTAGGTGTGCAAAAGAAGAAAATTAAAAGTGAATACAGGAAAGAGTAAGGTTATGAGGATGACAAAAAGATTAGGTGATGAAAGATTGGATATCAGATTGGAGGGAGAGAGTATGGAGGAGGTGAATGTATTCAGATATTTGGGAGTGGACGTGTCAGCGGATGGGTCTAATGAAAGATGAGGTGAATCATAGAATTGATGAGGGGAAAAGGGTGAGTGGTGCACTTAGGAGTCTGTGGAGACAAAGAACTTTGCCCCCTTGGAGGCAAAGAGGGGAATGTATGAGAGTATAGTTTTACCAACGCTCTTATATGGGTGTGAAGCATGGGTGATGAATGTTGCAGCGAGGCAGTGGAGATGTCATGTCTGAGGGCAATGTGTGGTGTGAATATAATGCAGAGAATTCGTAGTTTGGAAGTTAAGAGGAGGTGCGGGATTACCAAAACTGTTGTCCAGAGGGCTGAGGAAGGGTTGTTGAGGTGGTTTGGACATGTAGAGAGAATGGAGCGAAACAGAGTGACTT